ACCTTATTTCTATCAGGTACATTAAGTAACCAATTTCTTGTTAGAAACATAATGGAAACAAACCCCCAGAAAACCAACAGAAATTCATTTTCATCTTACTAGAATTTGAGCTTCTTGAAATAAAAAAAAAATTCCTTTGTATGTATATTAAGCCATTTAATTACAATGGTTTGTGATATTTTTAATGTTCTTATTATTAGTAAAGAATTAAATTGGGTATTCACAACACATATTAATAAAAGTTAATTAACTGATCAGGGCTACAGTTTTCTGAATTGGTATTTGAGCATTTATCAAAGGGTAGTTCAGATTCTTCCCATGGATATGAAAAGCAGCAGCAAAAGCCTGCTAGAGCTCTTACCCTGTGGTTCACCCTGCTGGAAGGTTTTCTAAAGTATGTCTAGACCACCTGACTCTTGCTATGAAAGCATTATATAACAACAGCTTGGCTAATTGGCCCAGCATTCCTGAACTATCCCAAGGCTGTGGGTCAGAATTCAAACCATCTCAAGCCCTTGTCTCAAAGCTTATTGTCATAACTGGCAAATTTGCTGTATGGAAATGGCAAATTTGCAGAGCACTCTCTAACATAACATTTATTGAGCTGCTGGTTATTTTCACATGCATTTTCTCTCATTGAATATTTGGGTGCTCATTCAATTTATAGGTGACAAAATGAAGACCCAGAGAGGTATAATTTTCTCAAGGTTGCAGTCAGCCAGCAGAAATTAGGAGATTTGAACATGAATCTTCTAATGTGAAACTGAGAACTCCTTGCCCTGTGTATGAGTAGGTTGCTTTGACAAATATTTCTCAGGCTGCTAAGGAATTGTTTGCTTCAAGAGGGAAACAGATATCCGTTCCCCACCCCTACCCCCGACCCCACCAACACCACTTCAGCTGACCTGAGCAAAAGAAAAGATTATTGGAAGGATTCAGACATAGGAAATGCCACCAGGCCTCAGCCAGGGCTGGAGAATGGAATCAGGAGCTGAAGTGCTTTTGTTTCTCTAATATTCTTAGGCATCTCATCTCTGCTTCTGATTTCAGCTTCATCATTTGCCGCCGTACACATGGGATTTCTCTGCTCCTGGTAGATAGTACTAGTCCAGCCTCTCTGCTGTGTGTGTACAGAAGGAGAGAGATTAGAAGGGAAGGATAACAGTCACACAGTTGTGACCCATACTCAGAACATCTCATATGGGAGTCAGTAGAGGTGAGGAGGACATAATTGGTAGAGAAATGATCTGCTTTATTTATTCAAAGCTTTTCTTGTACTGTGGTATTAAACTTTGATAGTTAAATCTCTGATTCTCCAACTTGATTTGGAGCAATTTTATGAATATTAATGGGTTTCTCTTGTGTGGGTTTGTGTGTGAGTTAAGTCGTTTCAGTTGAGTCTGAGAATCCCATGGACAGAGGAGCTTGTGAGCTACAGTCCATAGGGTCACAAAGAGTTGGACAAGACTGAAGGGGCTTAATATGCATGCATGAATATATACAGTGATGTCTCTATGTCTGTGATTATATTCTGAAAATGCACATAATTCTATTTATGCAAGCATTTTATTCCTACTAGTCAACTGAGAGTCATCTTCATTAAAGAGATATTTTGATGTCTCTTAAAAATACAATGGGGAAAACATTGTCTTATTATCATTTGTAGACTAATTACTTGTGCTTATACAACTATCATTTGGTTAATATTAGCAAGAAGAACAAAGTAGTGCCAAAGATAAGAAATGACACTTCTGTTAGTGGAACATGTCCACCTGAAACTGTGGGTTTCCAGCTCCCCTGACATAATAAAATACTCTGAGTACCATCTTTAGCAACAGACATGGGTGAGTGGTCCTCTGAAGAATTATCCTTCAAAGAGGTTTCCCCACCCCTACCCCCGACCCCACCAACACCACTTCAGCTGACCTGAGCAAAAGAAAAGATTATTGGAAGGATTCAGACATAGGAAATGCCACCAGGCCTCAGCCAGGGCTGGAGAATGGAATCAGGAGCTGAAGTGCTTTTGTTTCTCTAATATTCTTAGGCATCTCATCTCTGCTTCTGATTTCAGCTTCATCATTTGCCGCCGTACACATGGGATTTCTCTGCTCCTGGTAGATAGTACTAGTCCAGCCTCTCTGCTGTGTGTGTACAGAAGGAGAGAGATTAGAAGGGAAGGATAACAGTCACACAGTTGTGACCCATACTCAGAACATCTCATATGGGAGTCAGTAGAGGTGAGGAGGACATAATTGGTAGAGAAATGATCTGCTTTATTTATTCAAAGCTTTTCTTGTACTGTGGTATTAAACTTTGATAGTTAAATCTCTGATTCTCCAACTTGATTTGGAGCAATTTTATGAATATTAATGGGTTTCTCTTGTGTGGGTTTGTGTGTGAGTTAAGTCGTTTCAGTTGAGTCTGAGAATCCCATGGACAGAGGAGCTTGTGAGCTACAGTCCATAGGGTCACAAAGAGTTGGACAAGACTGAAGGGGCTTAATATGCATGCATGAATATATACAGTGATGTCTCTATGTCTGTGATTATATTCTGAAAATGCACATAATTCTATTTATGCAAACATTTTATTCCTACTAGTCAACTGAGAGTCATCTTCATTAAAGAGATATTTTGATGTCTCTTAAAAATACAATGGGGAAAACATTGTCTTATTATCATTTGTAGACTAATTACTTGTGCTTATACAACTATCATTTGGTTAATATTAGCAAGAAGAACAAAGTAGTGCCAAAGATAAGAAATGACACTTCTGTTAGTGGAACATGTCCACCTGAAACTGTGGGTTTCCAGCTCCCCTGACATAATAAAATACTCTGAGTACCATCTTTAGCAACAGACATGGGTGAGTGGTCCTCTGAAGAATTATCCTTCAAAGAGGATTTTATGGGCAAGAGGACCCTTGAGGAAACCATCATAACTCTTTTCAAGTTAATGCTGTATGAAAGCCTTAAATTTTCAGTTTCTAGAAACTTGTATTTGTATTTGAAGGTCAAAAGTGAAAATGTCAAACCCATAATTACCTTCCCTTGTATGTGGTGAAAATAATACAGGAACCTCTGAAGTCATCCCTTTATAAAAATCATCTTATCTTTCTAATGAAAGTGAAAGAAAGTGAAAGTGAAAGTCACTAGGTTATGTCCTAATCTTTGCAACCCCATGGACTTAAGTCCACGGAATTCTCCAGGCCAGAATACTGGAGCGGGTAGCCTTTCCCTTCTCAATGGGATCCCTTCTCCTGGGATCTTCCCAACCCAGGGATCAAACCCAGGTCTCCTGCATTTCAGGAATCTTTACCCACTAAGCCATAAGGGAAGCCCAAGAATACTGGAGTGGGTAGCCTGTGCCTCTCCAGTGGATCTTCCTGACCTAGGAATTGAACCAGGGTCTCCTGCATGCAGGTGGATTATTTACCAATCAAGCTATTAGGGAAGCCCATCATTCTAATAAACATAGATATTGAGTACATTCTTGCTTGACATCCTGGTTAAAAAATATCCAAGGTAAGAACCTTCTTTGTTTCTTACAACTGATCACTGAGCTGTTCACCCCTCAAAATTCAACTCAATAATCATGTGACTAATGTATCAAACTTTAAATACTTTACATTTTTGCATGTTATTTGTGCTTTGTATGACTGTAGAAAGTAACAGCTGTTATTATGTGGATTTGGAGAAATATTGTGTTCCAAGAATAAGGCAGTAGAGCTGTAGTCTTGATTTTACCAGAGGGCGTAAGATAGATGTGGACAATGTCTAGTTCTTGCCTTATTATCAGTCAGTGCTGTGCTTTATTAAGTCCCTACTTGCTCATTTTCCTTACTGAGAGACCTAGGCTGGGATGGACAATATTTAATTAGCTCCTTATAACTCTAGTATTGATATGCATTCTTTTGAGAGGGGGTTGCTTTCTTGATTTTTTTTTTAAATTTAAGTATAGTTGATTTACAGTGTTATATTAATTTCAGGTGTGCATCAAAATAATTCAATTATATATATATATATATGCTTTTTTTCAGATTCTTTTCCTTCATAGGTTATTACAAAGTACTAAGTACAATTCCATGTGCTTATACAGTAGGTTCTTATTGGTTATCGATTTTATATATAGTAGTCACATGTTTTCTTAACCTATATTATCTTAGTTAATAGTCATGTTCTTGATAAGCAATAGATTTTTTCTTTTTTGCTACACTTACATGACTTGTGGGATCTCAACTCTCAGACCAGAGATTGAATCCAGGTCACAGGAGTGAAAGCCCAGAATCCTAACCACTTCACCATCAGGAAACTCCCAACAAACTATGGATTTTAAAGAGGTGTTGGTCTTTGTTGAAGGTGGGTAATTGATATATGGGTTCATTTTACTTTTTTGAATGATACTTTCTAGAGAGAGAAAGAGGGACATAGCTGTAAAAATAGTGGCAATGATAAGGAAATGCTGCAAGGAGAAGATGAAACATCTTCATCCTAAAAATTGTGGTATGTTCATTTTTATGGGCATCTAAGTATGAGAGGTTATAGAAGTTACAAGATGTAGTAGGAAGCAGAAATAGAGAAATTGGAAAACTTTGCCAGTCTCCTTGAATCATTTCAGTTGAAATGCTTTATCATTTTGTTGTGAATGCCATATGAGATGTACTTAGAGTCAAGTTTAATGAATATACATTACAGAGATAAATGGTTCATGAATTCACCATCATTTTGGATTATGCATTATTGCTCTTTAAAATCATTAGTTTGGAAAATTGAGATTTGATTGTAATTTGCAATTTCTTAGCATGCTCTGACCGGGCAAAAAAGGAAGCAATCTGGATAAGGGCCAGATTTCAGAGCAAAATTTACAGATGCAAAGTGCTTGATCCATAAAGTGGATAAAGCACATAATCTGCAATCAACTATAAAGTTTGACCATGGAAATGGTTGTTGAACCCAAGTCCATGTACCCAAAGTACAGTGAAGCCAGACCAATGGGAATATCAAAGTTTCGAGCAGAAAAAGGTTTATTAATCACAGAGGCACCAGCCTAGAAGGTGGGAGACCCAGATTGATCTCAGATCCATCTTGCTGACTGATTAGGGTGTAAGATTATTAAAGGCAAATGGGGAGGAGAGGTTCTCTATAATCTTGAGTTCAGATAAGATGCTGCAGGATTTCTGGCACCACTTCGTGGCTTCCTTTGCCCCCAGTGATGGTGGTTATCCTACTTGTTCCTAGTTTGGTCTCGTGATCCTTCAATTTTCCCCTAGAAGAGAGCAGAGACAGTAGTTGAGGCGTTTTACTGTCTGTTCAGGGACTATATGATGGTTCAGGAGTTTCAGTTCTCAAGTGACCCTATTTTTAAGTCTGCTTGGGGCCAGCTGGTTGAAGCCACAGGGTGTTACCTCATCAGTCTGGGGTCATAAATCAAGGCATTGGCCTAAGCTAATAATCATGGAAAAGATTACATTGCACTTGCTTTCTCTTTTAATTTTGAGTTCCCTCACTTCACGGTTTGAATCCGTTCTTTGGAACTGAGTGAAGTTCTAGGACTCTTAAGTCTTTTTTCTATAAACAGGAAGGCATATTTACTTGGGACTGTCTCTCAGGGTTCTGCTTGGCTTCAGTCCCCCCTTTGAAACTCATCAATCTTGACAGAAACAGGAGTCGGACAAGAAAGGGAATAGAGATTAATCATAAACGTGGCAAGGGAACTTGATTTAAGGTAGACTTAGTTTCAGAAATACCAATAAAATAACCCAAACTTTGAGTTCTAACATCAGAGCTCACACGTATTCTAAAGTCGCTTTCTGTGCGTATAGGTTTTTTCTAGAGATTAGTGCAATCCTTTATCTAACCCAAATGTTTATTGAGCAAAATTTCTTGTCCAGAACTGTATAAAGAGTCACTTGAAGACCTTTATGGTACAAGACTGTAATTTTGCATTTTGAAACTGAATAGAGCTTTTTACCCCTTGGGCCATGATTGGATGTTTAATTTCACATAAAATCACAGATTCTTTCCTTGAAACCTGTATAAATCAGTGGTCTTCCTTTTAACAAGGGCTTCCTTGGTAAAGCGTCTACCTACAATGTGGGAGACCCAGGTTCGATCCCTGGGGTGGGAAGATCCCCTGGAGAAGGAAATGGCAACTGACTCCAGTATTCTTGCCTGGAAAATCCTATGGACTGAGGATCCTGGTAGGCTACAGTCCATGGGGTCGCAAAGAGTCGGCTACAAGCGAGCAACTTCACTTCACTTCACTTCCTTTTAACACAAAGGATTTTTAAAAAGGGCTATTATATTCCCCATTTGATGCTACAAATTCACTAACAACTCAACACCCAAGCCTTTAGAAACGCTGTGTGTAACTTAGTCTATTTTTTCACCTAGTACTCACTCCTGAGCCTGGTGCATCCTTCTTTTGCTTCCTAAACTATGTACGTCACTCTTTCCAAGTCACCAATGACCTCCTTGTCATAAAATCTACCTTTTTAGTCCATTTCTCACTTGACTTTGGGACAGTAGTTGATGCTGATAAGTACTCTCTTCTTTAGGAAATATTATTTTCCTTTGGCATCCATGACACTACTGCCCTCTTCTGCTCTTCTTTTGTCTGCTTCTGGGCAATTTAAATAATGAGCTCTTAGGCTTCTTTGTGAGTCCATATTCTTCTCCCCTTTGCCTTCCTTGGGATTTTGAAGTAGGCTGTCTTCTCTTGCACTCTGTATACTTGTCCCAGATGAGAGTATTACTCTTGAAGCATCAGTCATTGTCTTTGTGATTTTCAAATCTCTATCTCCAAGCATGATCTATCTCCTGAGCTTCAGGACAACATATCTACTTCTCTTATTGAGAGTTTCATATTGATGTTTCTCATACACTTCAAATTCAACACAGTCCGAATGGAAAACTTCATCTTACTCTCTGTGTCCCTCCAGCTTGCTTCTCTTCCAGTATTATTGTCTCAGAGCATGGCGCCACCATCCATCAACTGCTTTTTGTCCTTGATGCTTTTCTCTTCACACTTTCCTCTTTCAATCAAATATCAAGATATGATCTCTTGATTTTTGCTTCCTCTTTCTATTCTTGTTGCCATTATCTTTGCATTTCCTATCATTATCTTAGCTTTCCTATCATTCCTTTCCTTAAATACTGTAATGGTCTCCTCATTAGCGTATCTATCCTGGCTAGTTCCCTAGTTCACTTCCAGGCTCTTCTCTCAATTCCAAGTGGTCCTTCTCTAATGCATTTCGAATCAGGGCACTTCCATGATTAAACCGTGTCTGTATTCCTGTTTCACTTGAGAAGAAATCATGGTAATTATGTAACTTTAAGTGTCTGTATAATCTGATCAATTGCCCAAATACTAAGGGCTTCCCAGGTGGAGCTAAAGAACCCATCTGTCAATACAGGAGACAGGAGACACGGGTTTGATTCCTGGGTTGGAAAGATCCCCTGGAGAAGGGCATGGCAACCCACTCCAGTGTTCTTGCCTGAAGAATCCCATGGATAGAGGGGCTTGGTGCACCACGGTCCATATGGTCGCAGGGTCAGACATGACTGAAGCGACTTGGCACGCACACATGCATGCATGCCTAACTACTATCTAGTCTCATCTCTTGTGATTTCCCTTCATATTTCAGGTCTTCACTTATGGAAATTCTTTCCATTCTCCTAGCACACTATGACTCTTCTTGTCTTTAGGTTTTAGAACATCCCTCTGCTAGGATATATATATATATATATCCTCTGCCAGGAACACTCCTCTCCTACTCCTTGCCTTTTATTTGGCTCACTTCTATTTAACTTTCAGAAATCCTTGTATTTTTTTTCCCCCTCAGAAGTATCCCCTGATCCTTTAAACAAGGTAAAGTTAGGAAAGGAAACCATTGCAATTTGTATACCCACTATGATAACAATTATCATAATTGTTTCATTTTCTTTTATGTGTTTGGGGTAGTGGGAGACAGAGACTGTGTACTCTCTAAGGTAGAAATGATATGTATTTGCTTGTGATTACATTGCACCCCTGAGCCCCCATGACTGACAAACTGTCTGATGCAGTTTTCCAGTTCATACTTGCTGAATGACAAATGCAGAGAGAGAATAAAATTCATTGTATGAGTAAAGCAAGAGGCAAGTCATTTCAATAAAATGCCAAAGGATACATTTTCACTTAAATTTTTATTGCAAATGGAGTAAATGGTATGCCAATGGATCTGGAGGGGGCTCTACCAACCTTTTATGTTTGTGGCTTACATGGCTCCTAACACATGACTGCATCTATAGAAGGCAATAAATAATTAAGGAATTAAACGTTTGCAATGACTTTTATTTGAATAAGGGAAGGAATTAAGCTCAATAAGTGCTGTTTATTTTTGGCTCCACTAAACATAGATATAAGATTCAGGGGAGTTGTGGTGGTGAATATTAGAATGTAGGGTAATTTGGGGGGTAATTTCTTCTTCAGCTTTTTTTTTTAAATTTACCACACTGTTTTCATTCACTTTGCTTTCCTAGAAGTTACTTACTTATATCAGAAAACATACCTTACTATTTAACTATTTAACTATTTCAACAAAGTATCAGATTTAATATAATGCATATGTATCAGATTTAATATAATGCATATGCTCTAAAGTTCATCCAAAGATATTAATAATGGAAATATCAAGCAAAGATTGTTCCAGTCTGATGTGGTTACATGTCATTAATTAAATGAACAATATTTTCCTACAAACTCTATACTCCTTGTATATTTTCTAACTTAGGGATAGTTCTATCCTGTTGAAAAAACTATAAAAACTAATGTATTTGACACTTTTCTCTCCCTCATAACCTATGTTCATTTACCTCTTGATTAGCTCTCAAATTGGTCTCCTAGATCCATTTTCACTCTCATTAATCTAGTCCAGGCTATTATTTTCTCCTGCTAGAAAATTTGTTACAACCTGCTAAGGAGTCTATCTGCACCACCATGTCCCCTGCCAACTCACTCTCCACTCAGCAGCCAAACCAATCTGATTATGCTCTGCTTAATATCTTCAGTGACTTCTCATCAACCTTAAATAAAAATGTCCCACTCTTCACTGTAACTTCTGACTCCACAGTGCTACCACACTTAATATTTAGATGTCATAATCTCATATATCAATTCCTGACTTTTCAAAGTCCCATCCATCTTTTCACTTAAATGAATGCAATAAGATAGATTTTTTTTTTAAAAGAAAGATGTTGGTATTTCACCACAAATACTCTCTGATAGGGTGAATTAGTCATCCATTCAGACATTACATTTCAAATTTTTAACAAAAATACTTAATCCTACCCTCTGACTGATTGTAAGTTAACATAGTCTTTCCTTTTGCCCATGTTTTTGGATAAGTTCAAGGGCTCATGTGCTTCTTTTATGATGCTTGTAGATTCTACAGTGTAGGTGAGCAGAGATCCCTGAAGGAATAAATCACTTGTTCAAGAGCACATAATGAGAGTACATAGAAGAGAACAGTCATCTTGCTTTAATTTTTTTTTTTTTTATTTTGGTGAGAATAGGGTACGTGCTTAAGAACTGTCACTTTATAGGACTGGAAGTGAAGAATCAAAGAACTACAATGTTACAAGGTGTGTAGTTTTTATCTATGGTAAAATGCACCATCTTGTTGAGTAGTCTATTATTTTTTATTTCAAAATGCAAAGTAGAATATAAACTGGCAAGAGAGGGAGGAGGAAGGTGAGACTTGAGTCAGAGAGGTCCCTGAGAGGAGATCATTACATTAGTGTGGATTTCGGTAAAAATGTAAATGTATTCAGTACGCAGACATTTATTTTTGCCTTCATAAATCAACACTTTACATTTAATGTCTTGTTTTTAAAAAAAAGTCCTTAAAAATAGCTGAGTATTATAAAAACAGATCAGAAATGCAAATTACATAGTTAAAATGGAATCAAATTTATACTTTTATAATAACCTAAGCAAATAAATTTTAGTCTTATCAAGAGTATGTCTCAAAGAACAGGCAAGTATAGATACTAAAAAAAGGACTTAAAGAACATAAATAAGTCACTCTTCAATATGGAATAAAGGTCATATACTTTACTAGTAGTTTATTCAGAAAGTGTTTTTAACTAAGTGAATTGGGAATGAACTCTTTTTTCAATGGGTAGTATTATATATATATATATAAAAAAAATTAGACTGAATCACTCCCAGAATATATTCCTAGTATCCTTCCAAATTTGAGAATAAGAAATTATTATGTGCTTAAAACTGAAGATTCCAGAGAAGGTGTCACCATGTTTTGACTTGCTATTTTAGAGAGCTTCATGAACAATGGCCAAACCCTGATGGGTCAGATAGGGATATTTTAATATATTGAAATTTCATAACCATTTTGAAAAAGTAGAATTAACCTTATAGAGAAATTCTTACAGATATTTTAAGTGATTCCTTTTAAAAACGAGGAGCTAAAGATACAAATATCAAAAAAATCTCATGATTATTGTTTACAAGTTGTTGGGAAATGAATAAAACATTAAATAGCAGCAATAATTCAGAAGACTTGCCAAAATGTGGTTGAGGATCATGTACAATGAAGACAGAAAAGAGTATCTTGAATTCACCAGGATTCACAGAGGAAATAAGATTTAATCAATAAGCAGAATTTTGCTAAGAGAAGTGAGAAAGTTAGACAAAAAGCATAAAAATATTAGGAAATCATTACAGAACAACGTGTGAGAAAGAGGATGGTTACAGATGAGGGTGGGTCACTTAGTAAGCAAGGATCAGAGAATCAAGGCTTTGGAGATCATTTTAGAATTTTGCTATTAATCTTGATGAAATTGAAGAATTTTGATCAGAAAAATAATGTTTATTATTACTTACTGTATGCTAGGATCTTTACACCATTACTTCATGCAGTATCCATAACCAATCTTATAATGTACCAAATTTGCCATGAAGTGATGGGACTGGATGCTGATCTTAGTTTTCTGAATGTTGAGCTTTAAGTCAACTTTTTCACTCTCCTCTTTCACTTTCCTCAAGAGGCTCTTTTGTCATCTGCATACCTGAGATTATTGATATTTCTACTGGTGATCTTGATTCCAGCTTGTGCTTCATCCAGCCCAGCATTTCTCATGATGTACTCTGCATATAAGTTAAATAAGCAGGGTGACAATAACAGCCTTGACGTACTCCTTTTCCTATTTGGAACCAGTCTGATGTTCCATGTCCAGTTCTAACTGTTGCTTCTTGACCTCCACACAAATTTACTGCACTCACTTTGAAGATGAGAAAACTGAGGTGCAAAAAGGTAAAGAAGCAAATTATGGCTCTACAAACTGTCAGACCCAGCCTTCAATACAGCAGTTCAGTGCCATAGGTGGCTTCTCTGCCTCTCCTGCTAACTCCCTTTAACTCTGAGAGACATACTACACAGAGTAGAAAGAGAGAGAGGAGGAAGAAAGATTGGAGTGAGGGAGATCCCTAAGGATGTCACAAAAACAAGGCCAGACATGAAACACTGTGGAAAAAGTGGGTGGGCCTTGGACTGATTGCCTGTCAGTGAGATAAAAAGGAAGGGAGGAGCTTAGGACAACACTCAAGTTCTGATTTTTTTTTTCTTTTTTTGCTTCTCTGATAGCTCAGTTAGTAAAGAATCCACCTACAATGGAAGAGACCCCATTTTGTTTCCTAGGTCCGGAAGAGTCTTTGGTGAAGGGAGAGGCCACAAACTTCTGTATTCTTGGACATTTCCCTGTGGCTCAGCTGGTAAAGAATCTGCCTGCAACACGGGAGACCTGGGTGCGACCCCTGGATTGGGAAGATCCCGTGGAGAAGGAAAAAGCTACCCACTCCAGTATTCTGGCCTGGAGAATTCCATGGACTCTATAGTCCATGGGGTCACAAAGAGTCGGACCCAAATGAGCAACTTTCACTTTCAAGTTCTGATTTAGCAACTGTGTGGAGAGTGTCCATTTTATAGTAATGGGGAATGCAGGGAGCAGACTGAAGGGATAACAGAGACAAGGAATGATGAATTCTATCCAGAACACGTGGAGATGGAGATGTCAGTCAGATGTTTAGAAAAGGCATTATGTGAGGTCTGGAGCTCAGAAGGGGTGCGGCATAGTAGTGAAGAGACCTGTGTTTGTGTTAAAATCGCTTCAGTGGTGTCTGACTTTTAGTGATCGTCTGGACTGTAGCCTGCCAGACTCCTCTGTCCGTGGGATTCTCCAGGCAAAATGCTGGAGTGAGTTGCCGTGCTCTCCTCCAGGGGATCTTCCTGACCCAGGGATCATCAAACACACATCTAAGTCCCTTGCATTGGCACCAGGTTCTTTGCCACTCGCGCCACTAGCACTTAGAGTCAAATCTAGAGCACTAGCCATGACTACGTGCCTGACTACAGTTAATTACTTAAAGGGATGAAGTGGAGATCGAGGACTAGTGTTACCAACTATTGCTTTACTGTGGGCAAAATGCTTAATGTCTTTTTCTGCAAAACAGTGAGGGGTTGGGGGGAAGGGTAGAACAGACATTTGACAGACACCTTTGAGGTTTCTCTTTATATTTTCTTGAAAACTATGCACTGTGTTTATTGTATAAATCCTGTCAGCAGGTAATCTGGAAATTTGCATAATTGACCACAAGGGGGAGAACTCTAATTCTACATTAAGTCGCTACAACTGTAAAATAGCCTTAAAGTAGTACTTGCTTTTTTCAGTTGGTGTTAAGCTGTCCCATTTCCACTTCCTCATGGAAGTTTGGGGAGTTCTCTGCTAGAGATAGGTTTCACTGAATTGAAATGTGGTGTTATGGTGTTAAAGTTATGATAAAATCACTGAATGTAAAAATCTCTTTGTATTAAGCAATAATTCTCCAGGAAGGAATCCAGATGCTTCTTTAATTAAAATGAAGACAGTATGAATTTTAAAATTCACCCTGGGAGAGTTTTTCCTTCCAAATAACATTATTTCAGTTGTCCTTCAAGAAAACTATAATCTTTCTGAAAGTCCTCGGTCACATTGAAACAAGAAGAAAGCCAACCTGTCACTCTGTTGTAAAGTTATAGGTATCAAAACAAATGGATTAGAATGGTGCTGGCCATATAAATGTCATATGTTCCTTGACTATATATGAGTACGTGTTACATGGTCATTGTTACATGGACAGTGAACATTGTATGTTCCATATTTAAATGCTCATTTTCTTTTCAGTTTAACTTCTGTGCCCTGGTTTTATGTAAAGTGTGATTGTAAGGAAACTATAATCCCCATTGGGGTGAAAATTACCTTATGAGACTTTCTAATGTTTAATGAGCTACATTTTTGGATTTGATCAAATTAAATCACATTTGTAAGATATGAGTATAGTATTTCTGCATTTTATCATTATACTGAAACAGACACAGCTAAATGAGTGTTGTCCCCTTTAAAGATATGATATTGGTGAGCTCTATAGGACTCTCAATAATGCAGCTGTTATTGGAAACTTATTTGTGCTTCCCCTTGGAGGCAGTGTCACACCCTTTTAATATGTTCAGTGTCAGCAGATTTTCCTTTGAGAGGGAGTTCAATATTTAAAAACAAGTCTTTCTATGAATGAAGGTTGAATATTAAGTGAAAGTGGCTCAGTTGTGTCCGACTCTTTGTGACCCCAAATGGACTATACCCTCCATGGAATTCTCCAGGCCAGAGTACTGGAGTAGGTAGCCATTTCCTTCTCCAGGGGATCTTCCCACTGGAGGGATTGAACCCAGGTCTCCCATGTTGCAGGCAGATTCTTTACCAGCTGAGCCACAAAGGAAGCCCAAGAATACTGGAGTGGGTAGCCTATCCCCTCTCCAGCAGATCTTCCCGACCCAGGAATCAAACCGGATTCTCCTGCATTGTAGGCAGATTCTTTATCAACTGAACTGTTAGGGAAGCAGGTCACCTGTCAAATTGGAAGATATATTATTTGGGGTCCAAAAAACTAGATATCACTAAGATGTTTTAACTTCCTTTGATTCATGAACCTTCTTATCTGTCATAAAAGAGTCACACAATGTTTTTAGTAATGATGCTGTCACTGAAATGAGTTTAAACTCTACTGAAGGTAACTACTTTCATATGAATAAACTCATTCTAAAATGTTCACTTAACAAATAAGTAGTTTTATTTATACTTACTTTGTGCTTATTTTCCAGTTTTCACAATTGATACTTCAAAAATCCTTTAAATGTAAAATGATAGTCTACTAAGTAAATCAGTGTTTTCATTTAGAAATTTTCTATAACTTCTTTCAAAAATGACTCAGGTTTTTTATGTTTTTCTTTGACTAGATGAATTAAGTTTCTGTCAGTATGTTTCACACCAGAAAGTATTATAGATCAATAAAAGGTCTATGCTAGGAAGTCTCAAAAAGTAATTCTCACCCCAATGAAGGTTATAATTTCCTTATGATTATACACATCTTACTTCTGCTTCTATACCCAGTGACTAGCACAGTGCTTGGCCCCCTAGTAAATATTTAAAAAATATTAGTTGCATACATGAGTGAATAAATACATGTGTACATATATAAATAAACAAATATATAAAAATACATATATAAACACATATATATAAATAAAGTATACATATAAAATTATTCCTGTTATATATTGGTGTTCCAGACTGCTATTATAAACATCCACTCAAAAGTTAGTAGCTTGAGTCAACACAAGAATTTCTGCTGTTCACAGATCTACAGCTTAGACAGGGCCCAGTGGGAACAGTCCATCTCTACGCCGCTCCTCCACGCAGTGTCAGCTGCTCTGGCTTGAAGTCCAGGGTTGGCTGGGAGCCTAGATTCTGGAATTACCCAAAGGTTCACTCAGTCACATGTCTAGTGGTGATACTGGCTGTTGGCTGGAACCTCAGCTGGGGATGTTATCTAGAAACCTGCTTGGATTGCTCACAGCATATTTTATGTTCCATTCAAGTGATCAAGGCAGAGTGCAAGGTGATTTTTAAGACCTTGGAGGTCACATTGGATCACTTCTGTTGTAGTGTTAGTCTAGGCAGTCACAAAGGTCTACCTGATTTCAAGGAGAAGGGACTCAGAACCCACCAGGCGATGAGAAGTGTTTAAGGTCATATTCCAAGAGCATATGGGGTGAGAGATATTGCAGTGGTCTTTTTTTTTTTTTTTTTTTGAGAACATAATGTGCCATACTTTTATATACTCAGATAGGTAGTTTTACTTGTAAACTACTTCTATTCACTTTAGAAAATATTGTTCCCAAACAAAATTTACCCTGTTAAATGGATTCATCTGCTCTAATGAACATTTATGGTTCATTTTCTCTCTCCTGCTTTTGCTTGTATCTGTTCACTTAAATATGCTCATTTGCCCTTCAAAACCTCTTCCTCACATGCATTCAAAGACTAAGACTGAACCTTACTCGCTTTCTTTTATTCCTCCCTACCTCTCTTCCTTTCTTCTTCTGGTTTTTTCTTTCTTTCTTTTTTTTTTTTTTGTGGCCTGGAGAGCTTTTACTCTAAACTCATTTTGTCAAGTAAACACTTAGTATCTAATAGATGACTTCTCATAGTTCAAAGAGTAAAAGCACATTGCTGAATATTAGGTGTTTAATATTTACCAAGTTGATAAAATGTTTATAAATTATGTATTCTTTCTTAATTGGAAGGGTTTTTTTCTCTAAATACAGTTTTTGTAATTAAATTTAAATGAAAGGAACTTCAAGTTCAGCTTAAAGTGAAAAATGCCATCCTTTTTCTAAACCTATTTTACTAAATTAAAAAATAGGAATGATCTTTCCTGAAATTTGATTCTGATATGGAACAAATTATATTTTCTGCATATGACAAATCTGAGGTGAGTACTGAAATGGCTTTTTTCCCAAAAGTGACTGAAATAAACAGTAAACTAAAATGATATAACAATATTTCCTCTATTCAGTCCAAAGTCTATTTCATAGGATATTGAAGCAATCTGGGGATACATATCATTGAAGTAGTAAGACATTTGTGTTGTTTAATTGCTTAAACTAGAAAATTTTAAATAGTGCAAAAAAGCATTAACCTTAGTAAAGGAAGGGGGAGACCAACTTGAAATAGGTTGTATAGGAACTGCATATAATTAACTGCTATCCATGGAGAAGGAAATGGCAATCCACTCTAGTATTCTTGCCTGGAAGATCCTATTTACAAAGGAGCTTGGTGGGCTATAGTCCATTGGGTTGCAAAAGAGTTGGACACAACTTAGCAACTAGAAACAAAGAAAACAAACTTGAACCTAATAAAACCCCTTAACCCTTTGTTGTCTAATTTGTAGTTTGACTTGGGGTTTTGGTTCCAGTTGCCAATACATATTTATTAACTTTCTGACTGTCCCACTTTTACACAAAACTCCTGTGCTGTTCATTTGAGCTATATTAAACAAGTATGTTGACCCTTCTCCAGCTACAATGAAGTTACAATCAATGCTTTAAAAAAATTGTTTTGAACTTAGTTAATGGGGACTTCCCCAGTGGCTCAGGGGTAAAGAATCTGCCTGCCAACGTAGGAGACAAGGGTTTGATCCCTGGTCCTGGAAGATCCCACATGGCACAGGGCAACTAAGCCTGTGTACCAGAACTACGGAGCCCACACTCTACAGCCCAGGAACCACAAGTGCAGAAACTCCCATGGGCTAGAGCCTGTGCTCTGCAAAAAGAGAGGCTTCCACCAGGAGAAGCCTGCATATTACAACCAGAGAGCAGCCCCCACTCAGCACAACTAGAGAAAAGCCCGAGCCGCTGTGAAGACCCAGCACAGCCAGAAATAATTAATTTGAAAATTAATTGCTATCTAGAAATTAAATGGAAAAATAACCAATTTGTTTATCTTACGAAAACTTTCCAAGGGAGGAATCATCCTCACATATCCCTGTCATAAGTGTCTGTCCTGTGAATGGTGCTCAGTAAATGATTTGCATGAAAGAATTCAGTGCTTTCTGACAGTGTATTTTCTGGTCATTTCCAAAAACTATTGTGTTCTTTAGCTTTATAATTGCCTCAATATTCTTGATTATGTCATCTAGAATATGAGAGTTTGAAACGATTTTGAAAGTTTAGGTTTTGTTTTCTGAGTTCAGGGATCATACATATAGAGATTATTCCCTCACTTGTGCTGTTACAGTCTTTCCTACATACTGCTACTGAAATAGCAATCACATATCATATCATAAACCATATTTAGTTTTACACATATTTGCCTCCAACTTTAGGTTGAAATCAACTGAAGGGCTGTATTTTTCCCTGAAAGAGTATACTCTTAGAACATATTACTATGTGGTGACAGCTTCTCATTGATGGTTGAGGGAATGAATGAGAATCTGAATCTAGTGTTTATCCTCTTTCATCTCTATTTTTCATTAAAAAATTAAGTTTTTCCATCAAAATGATACAAGCCTTTGAGAAACATAACCTTAATAAAACCCATCACCTTTGAAAATAATGCGTTAAATTTAATATTAGACCAGATAAATTTTCAAGTTTAATTAAACATATTTTTAAAAGATTAATCTATTACCTTTGTGTAGATATCCATGTTGTTTCTTTTTTAAGGAGAGAACTTTAGGCATATTTTCCTTTTATTTAAGCAGCATACATTCCTTAAGAGATTTGACCACATTGACCACACCATCTCTCTTCATCCTAGAAACGCGAAGGAGCGGGCCATACCACCTCGGAATCCAATGTGACATGTATGGGCTTATTGTACATGTTTATAAAACCTTCTGGGTCCATTAATTCTGCAGAGTTGCACAAGTACTTTATTATTTGTTCTGGGAGGAGTAATTCAGGTGCAGCTTGGTGCAAACTGTCGCCTGGTCCTTTAGGGCTCAATTTCACAGTCTTAAAAAGGTGAAGTGCTAGTTTGTGTGTTTGGATGAGAAATTCTGTCATGACCTCTTCTAGGGACTGTGTCTGTGTCACATCATCTAGATACATGACCGGCGCTTTTACTACTGAAACATGCCACTGCATAAACAGCCTTGTTGGGATATTGTGGGACATGACTATAATCTTCATTCCTTGGATAAAAAATTCCATTTCATCCTTTTTATGGCTCAGGTAATCTAAAAGAATTTGGTATAAAGTACCACTGGAGGACTCCAGGATATGCAGAATGGATGTAGGATATATGAGCAATAATCCTGTCACTGCTTCTCCTAGGTGATATTTCAAAATTGACTGAAACAATTGTTCGTAGTAGTCAGCAATATCTTTTTTTTCTATGTTTGCTGTTATCCTGGCCACTAGGAACATCCTATGAAGAAGGAATTTCTTTAGTTGTAGTCTTTGCTTTTCTTCCTGAAACTGCAAGTAATTGCTACGTGGAACTTGTGGCATTAGAGTTTCCAGTGGCAAATTCTTTTTGTTGGCCTTTCGGGGATGGGCTCCGAAGGACATGATGAGTCTTATTTATTCTGCCAGATGACACCAGTTTTTAGCTTATTACAATAGTTACATTACCAGGCTACTTCTTTGGTGATAAACTCATTTTTGTTTTTTGTGACAAAAAAAAAAAAAAAAGCTTAGTTGTTCAAATGCTTCCAAGTGTTATCAATAAATAGTGTCTTTGGAATAAAAGAGACTGTTGAAACAAGAATAATATTATAGAATTTTGTTTTAAAATTTACAATGAGATAACTAACACTCATATCCTAGGAAGAAACTTTCCAACAAACTGGGTGGTAGGAAGAAGATAGAGCTTAATCTAGAATAAGTTCACTGTATCATTGTTTACATTATTATTATTATTTTTTAATTTATAGAATTTTTTTCTCCCCATCTTCAGCCATATACACACACACAAAGATGAATGTATACACTCATACTAACAGTAGCCTTGGCATTACATTAAAATGTTTTTTCATTTATGTAATGGTAAATACAGATTCTTTTTGGTCAAAATTTTTAAAGGATATCTTTTATGACAATTCCTCAATTTATACATTTAACTGATCAATAAATTTTTAAAAATCTGGGGATCTTCTAATTACTAATTGGCTTCTTTAACCTTTACTCAGTACAGTGAAAGTTAGTAGTATTGCTTGGATAACTAGAGTGAACTTTTGAAGTAAGTATTTGGGTCCTTTTTTTTTTTAACTCATATCAATAGACCTCAGAAATGGCTCTTTTTCTTTTGTTGTTGTTGTAGGGGTGAGATAAAAAATTCTGTTACTTTTGCCTTAGTCTTCTTACCAATCTTTTTCTCTTCCCTGCACGTCAACTTAACATTTCCTTTTTTCTCCGAGTGCCTCTCCCTTTTACCTGTCCTCCCACCGGTCCTCCATCACTCTTGCAACTGCCAGTATCCTGGTGCTCTCAGGTTTCCATGGTGCCCTGGGAAATCAGAATGTCAATGGTATTAAAGGGCCAAAGTACACTGGCAACTCAGCTAGATGGTAGACCTGGAAATCCCAGACATTTTCTCTTCTTTTTGTCCACAATTTATAGAAGAGGAAACCAAAGCATGGATTAGTTATGTACCTTGAGTGCAATTAGCTGAACTTGATTTCTACATGGAATATCAGATTATAGAATTTTGTTTTAAAATTTCTTTCTAACCTTTCACTTTAGAACACTCTAGATTCCTTCTGCTATTTTTCTCAGCATGCACCTTTAGCTCTGGAACCAAATGTTTCTGAAGAAACAATCTCCCAATGTCCTCTTGTCTTTGTAAGACAAGTAGAACAGGTTAAATACCGTTAATTGGTTATTGCCCTGTGCCATGTAAGCATCTAGTCAAGAGCATCTGTGCTGTGCTTTCTAGTTTCAGCCGTGTCTGACTCTGCAACCCCATGGACTGTAGCCCCCCAGGCTCCTCTGTCCATGGGGAGTCTCCAGGCAAGAATACTGCAGATCCCTCAGGGATCTTCCCAACCCAGGGATCGAACTCAAGTCTCCCCCATCGCAGGCAGATTCTTTACCATCTGAGCTCCTAGGGAATCCCCCCCTAATAGCATACACTGAATTAAAAGTGAACACTTCTTTCATTTAAATTTGATACCTAAAATTTAAATGCTACCCTCTGAAAAACTGATAATGTAATTTTCCTTGAGAGATATAGAGAGCTGTATCATGAACTATATTCCCTTTCTTCTTCGACTGTCAGGAAACCTAGAGACCAATCTCTGGCTTCCCAGAATAGGAGGTAAGTAGGGGTGGGAATATCATCCTGCTTTCATAGCAGGATGATGTTCCCACCCCTACTTACCTCCTATTCATGGTCTAGCTTTTATTTTTATTTTATGTAACCCTCACTCTTTTAAATTTATTGTTTTAATTTACAAAATTTTTTTAGATGATTTGAGTCTGTTGTGAAAGCAAGTCAGGCTATAAAAAAATAATAAAATATAGACTATCCAACTATTGGGATGCTACTCAGGATTTTCGACAGCTTTGATTGTGATTCATGAAGAGTATTCATTTTGTTCATTTGTAGCAAGTATAACTAGAGCTGCCAATTTTTTGCTTTGACAATTGGCAAATTCCTTTTGGCAAGTTTGATTTCACTTTTATGTGGGTGTAAGAAGCAGAATATAGTTTATTTTTAAATGAGTACTGCCAATTAGCTTTTTTTTTCTAAGCAATCTTTTACCTCCCTTTTATTCTTCCTGCCATTGGTCTTTATGTCTTTCATTAGCATGGTTACCATTTCTTCAACATCTTTTTTGGTTCATGACTAAATGTTGGCATATACTTCTTATTTCAGAGGCACAGGTCTCTGAAAACTGTAAGAACCACTCCATTCTGTCTGCTCCCCAACCCAAGCACACATGTTCCCTCTCTGTCCATCAATCACACATATTAATAATTTTCATCTCTAGCTGAAAATTTAGAGCTTCCCGCATATCTTCTTTCAGAATCCACATACCACTGTTATTCCCCTGCCCTCTTTCCCACAGCTGTGTTATGTGCTGTCATTCAGTGTCCAACTCTCTGTGCCCCCAGGGATTGTAGCCCGCCAGGCTCCTCTGTCCAAGAGATTCTCCAGGCAAGAATACAGGAGTTGCCATGTCCTCTTCGAGGGGATCTTCTCAACCCAGGGATCCAACCCAGGTCTCCCACATTGCAGGTGGATTCTTTACCATCTGAACCACCAGGGAAGCCCCTAAGAACATCTAATTTTGCCAGGAATTTGTAGAAGAGGAAACTAAGGTATGGGGTATGCAAGTACCTTGCACACAATTTAACCATGCTCTCAACAGCCTCTCTAATCTGTATACCTGAAGTAAAGAGAAGATGAATTATTCCATCTTTTCATGATCAGAGGGTCATTCTTTGCTCTTCTATGACATGAAAGTTCCACTGCAAATGGAAGTTAGCATATGGTTTTAATAAAGTAAATTGAAAGGAAAACTATATTGTACCTGTGATCCAAAAAATTGATGTATTGCCTTTAATTTCTCACTCACTTTGGATTTATCTACACCTTTGATGCACCAGATAATATAATTTTAACTGTAAGAATCACAAATGTGGAAAGCACCTGGTTGCTAATTTTAGGGGTTTAGAGTCCATTGGGGTGGGATATGTCTATGAAAAACATAATAAAACCAGACAAATGTTTGTGCTTTAGAACACCAAGGTAGAAAGGTGGCTGGGATATCTTAGAAAGTTTAATGAGAGAGTTCATATTTGGGCATGGCCTTCAGGGAAACAACTGGGGAGCGGCTTTGTGTAAGCTTTTTGAATTCATTACTTTATTTTTTTTTTAATGTTAAATGTGAGTTTATTTTTTTTCCATTTATTTTTATTAGTTGGAGGCTAATTACTTTACAATATTGTAGAGAACAGCATTGAATTCGTTACTTTAGAATGTCAGGATTAGCTGAACTTGGTTTCTACCTGGAATATCAGATCCCACTCTAACCTTTCACTTGTGCTCATGTACTTGGGAAACAGAACACTCTAAATGCCTTCTACCGTTTCTCTCAGTGTGTTGACCCATCTATACATTTAGTGCAAGAGAATCAATGGTCATTAAAAAATGGCTAACAACTTGGGTATAACTTTTCACTAAGCATTTTATTACTATTTTTTTTGATTGAAGTATAGTTAATTTGGGCTTTCCAGGTGGCACTGTGGTAAAGAATCTTCCTGCGAATGTGGGAGACATGGGTTCAGTCCTTGGCTTGGGAAGATCCTCTGGAGTAAGAAATGGCAACCCACTCCAGTATTCTTGCCTGGGAAATTCTATGGACAAAGTAGCCTGTAAGGCTACAGTCCATTGGGGTTGCAAAGAGCTGAACAAGACTGAGCAAACATCCATGTGGTACATAGTTGATTTATTTTTACAGTAGTTCAGGTATACCTAAGTTATTAAGTAGACAAAGCATACTTGATTTAGCAGAGCAAACCAGAGTAAGCTTAGTTACCAAGAGAATATTTAGGTGTTTTAAGATTTACAAAAAATAAAAGGAAAACTAGTTTAATTCTCATGTGTTTTTTCTCTTGGCAAAAACATTATGGAACAGTGTTTGGTAGTTATTTATCAAGGAGATTCAGGCTAGAAATACTTTGTTGTTTAGTATAAACATTTAACAATGTCTAGTCTTTGTAGAAAAATATGCCAGACAGTGTGGAGGTATTTTTGTGAGTCAGATATTGTACCTGCACATGAAAAACTCAATCCTCTTAGTGGAGCTTAAAGTCTACACAATTACATTTAATACAGGGCTGGAGAGAAGAAATGCTACAGCAAAGACAAACAATGAACATGGAAACACAAATGCCAGGACAATTAAATGCTGCTGGAAGAATAAGCAAAGCCAGGCATGCAAAAAGATGTGATTTGTATGTCTGGTGGGTGGTGGTAGAGTAGAGATGGGGGTCAGGGAGGGTTTGGAAAAGACTGTAAGCTTGAAGCATAGAGAGCAGAATACATACATTCACTTCATTAAGAAAATGAGAATAGTCTGGCTTGGCTAGAGTAGTTCTCGACCACAGAATCTGCAGGTTTGTTAAATTGTTGATTCCTGGTCTCTAGCCCTAAAAGGTGTGAGTTAGTCTACTTAAAGTGAGGTCTGCTAAAAGTAAAGTGACTTTCAGACAGGTTCTCCCACTAGCTCTGTCTATTTCACTTTAAGGCAGAATGGTCTGGCTTGAGGTGATTTAAACCTTGGCTATTAGAATCTTCTTGTGGAGAACTTTTTTTTTTTAAAGCTGACTCCTGTTCTTATTTAATTAAGTAGAATGGAACTCTATATATTTGCAAAAGCCTCTCCTGGAGGAGATTTGCTGGCATAGACTTGAGGGTAAGCAGAAGAAGGGAGTGGAAAACAAGAAAGGAATTTGCATCTAGTGTTTGGAGAACCCGGACACATGCTCAGAGGTAGGAGAGAATCGTTGAGCATAATCCTAACTGTGTTTTAGAAAGTTGCCTGTGAAGTACAGAGGAATTAGAGGTGGGGGATACTGGAGGCAGCCAGAGCACTTGTCAGAATTCCGCAGTTGGCAAATTAGTGCCATTACTGTCTGCCAGTTGACAACTTTGGTTTAGCTTTTCTGGAAAGCAATTTGATGGTATAGATCACAAGCTTAAAAACTCATACTCTTTGATTAAGTCTTCCAGATACATGTCATAAAGAAATAAAATTGGCAAAGATTTTAATGTAAAGATGGTTATTATGGAATTAAAAGAAAACTTTGAAAATTGAATAGATGTATTAATTGTGGATTACTATGGTGCCATGAAACCATTTCTGGAGAATATTTTAAATGGAGGGAAAATGGCGTTCTCTAAAGTAAATGATATAATATACAAAATTATATGTACTATGTGATCCTAACTTTAGTTTAAAATATAGAAACCAGAGTAGAGAGAAATCTAGCCAAATGTTAAAATTAGTGGAATTTGGTGGTGATATTTGCATTGTATATTCATAATATTCTGTTTGTCTACATTATTGCTCTGTTTAGAAAAAGAAATTAACACTAAAAAAAAAAGGCTGTGGTGATGATTCGATGAAAGGTAATGCATGTTTTTTTCTGCTTGTGACTCTGGGATAGGCTCACTTATCAGCCCACTGATGGATAGAATTTGTAAAATGTTGGATCCTGAATCAGGCTCAACAAGAGGTGTTTGGGTCTAATGCCTGAGACAAGATAGGAAGACACAGAGATGAAAGATGGAGTAGTTATCAGGACACAGGGCAGAAGTCCAGAAAAACCTTCCATGAAGTGAAATGTTTGCATAACTAACCTAAGGCATGCTACTGAGAGAAAGGTAGGACTTTAAAAATTTTAGCCCAGTTGGACAGTTAGAATCTCAACTAAAGCACTTGCTGAGATGGAGGAAATATGCATATCATCACCAAGGTTTTCATGACTT